CCAGCAAGCCTCGGTTACCACCGGTACGACTTGGAGATAATGCAACGAGAATCCCATATCACGGGATACATCGCCAAATATCTCCCTGCTGAATACCAAGAGGCCTATCAAGCTGATGTGCAGACGTTGAGGTCTCAGTTTTTTGCTGAAGACGGCAGACTTAACCTGGCCTCGGCGACGTGGGAGGTATCTTACAATCACCTCATGGCCGCCACTTCCTGAGCCAAGTGAGAAGAGGAGATGCTCCCTAAGCAAGAGCTCCTGTAACATAGAGGAGTTTCTCCCTCGTTAGGCGTAGAGCTGGCGGAGTTACTCCCCAGGGGTTTTTGAACTAAAGAGTCACAGGTGGAGCTTCTCCCCTAGTTGGTGGAGCTTCTCCCCCAACGAGGGGTGTACAGCTGGCGGAGTCTCTCCCTAGGGGTTTTTAAAAGCTTTGAGTCGCTGCCTGCAATAATTCTGCCTGCACTGAGCTACACTGAGCCAACAGCAATCCACCATCCGTGATGCAGGTCTCCTCGTGGTGGTCTGGAGCTCAGTGGCCTAGGCCCAGCTGCCTGCTTAGAAGCCAGCTTGAGCCAACAACCGCAGCTTTCTCTCAAGACTCAGCATCATGTCCAGACCTGAGTCAACACAGGATCCCTCGTTTCAAGCGGAGTACGAGGAATTCTGCCAGCGACGGATACGTGAACAACTTCCGCATGTCACGTATCGCAATTTCCTGCGCCAGTGGAGGCGCTCCGCTCGTGCTCACGGCGAAAGCTATCCTGCATATAAAGGAGTCTCTAAAGGTACTGGTGGACAGGAAGAGCTGGGAAGCGGAAAGGGTGGAGTCACTCCCCCTCCTCCTCCTTCCAAGAAAAGAAGTACAGGGCAAAGCGAGGGTGGAGATACTCCCCCAGCAGCAAAGGCCAAGAGTGGAGATCCTCCCTCGGGGGACCCCAATCACGGAAGCTGCGATCAAAGTTCTTCAGTCAGCTGGTTATACGCCCTTTCCCAGTCTGATTTCAGACTGTGATGGGAACATCACTGACCTGAACAATCACCGAATTATGGTGACAGTAACTCAGCAGCTGCGAGATGGCCTCAATCAGGTGGAACGACCCTCCCCGGAGGTAGCCAATGCTCTCCTGGAGACCTTCCTGGCCTCTCGCCGGGGACTTGCCAATGAGCCTCTGCATCCGAAGCTTGGATATCCCACAGCTGAGGAGAATGGGTGGTTTCGTTTTGAGTATTCTTCACCGAACATTCTTCCTGCAGGGGACAGCGAGGTTGCGTTCCACGGCACACACCTGGAATGTTTGCATGGGATACTGGCCACAGGCAGGCTACTACCTTCGACACCTGACCTCTCCGGCACGCGAAGCTTCGAGGCACGACCAGGCGTGTATCTTCACAGGATGTCAAACAGGCATCTTGCTGCCGGTTACAGTTGTCTGGTGAGGATAGGACCTCGGCACATATTCGTGCGGCCCATGTTTGAGGTGGAGGCTGCGCACTCTGGATCGCAAAAACGTGGTAAGAAAACAAACCAACTGATATACTCCTATGATGCAGTCAAAATCCGAGCGCTGCTACTGCAAATATCAACCAAGGAGACACTCACCTTAGGTGAGTACCTCCGAGAGTGGAGTGGCTTGTTGGAGATACCACTGAGACAAGCACGGGAATCCTTTTTGGCGTTGGGATACGAGCTGCCTGGCGAAGCCTCGTCAAGTGGAGTCAAGGAAGGAGGAGTTGCTCCCCTTCCGGTTTGTGAGCAGGCGTCCAGCTCACAGGGTGGAGTTTCTCCCCCGACCATGGCGTCAGAGATTGGCCACAGCTCAACAACGCCACGTAGCTCCACTATAGTGGCCTGGGAGGGCCAACCAGGCGATCTAGGGGACTATTGCACTGCCTCTACGAAGCCGGAGACCAGCTTCTCGTTCGAAGTCTCGAAGGCTCTAGCAGCTTCGCTCCGGCACGGACATAAACCCTACATCAGCGTCACTTCAGCTGGTTGGGCCAAATTAGAGGACGTCCTGAGATGGCCAAGAGTGCAGGCCCAGCACGCCACGGCAGGCGACCTCATGGAGGTCGTTCGGAGTAACGCAAAAGGCAGGTACGAGCTGGGCGATTGCCAAGGCCAGAAGTACATCAGGGCTCTGCAAGGACATTCTCGCTCTGATGTGGACTCCAATGAGGTGTTGGAGGAACTCACGGAGGAGATGCTCCCCAGAATGCTGTATCATGGCACATTCTGGTCCTTGTATGACTCCATACGCCAACGAGGCCTTCTGCCTCAGAACAAGATTTCCAAGGGCCGCGGCAAAGGCGGACGTGGCAGAGAGGGACGACAGCATGTTCACTTCGTCTCGGATCGGGACTATGGGAGACCTGGTGTTTCTGGATTCAGAGATAGCTCGTCGATGCTGGTGGCGGTCGATCCACGCAGAGCCATGCAGGTAGGGGTGCAATTTTTCCGTAGCAAGAACGGCGTCATTCTCACCCCTTCTGAAGTGCCCCCTTCTGTCATAGAGTACTACCAGAGCCTGAAATCAGGTACTAAGTACGGAGGCGACAACAGGCCGCTCTGATCGTGAGGACCCTCACCTTATGGTGGAGTCCCTCCCCACACTGATAATGCAGCTGCTCACGCAAAAATCTGTGTCATGAGGCTGAAGGTCACTTCAATTTCATCACCAGACAGCAATTATACCCCGAGGTCGCATGTGAAGCTCCGTGCGAAGTCGTGGGCCCGGATCTGCAAGTGAGTTGTCAGCCAAAAGTTTTCTGGAAGCTCTACTTGCCTTCTCGTACAGGCTCAACTCACCAGCTGTCTCGACTGTAGAAGCCATGCCTGAAACACCGAAGAAGAGTGGCAACAGAGCGACCTCCCGAACCCCTCCTCCAGTGCGACGTCGGCCCCACCTATCCAGGTCGCCGCCAGCCAGTGACTCCATTCGGGAGTCCGACTCCGAAGACACAGCAGCCCCTAAAGCAGCCCCCAAAGCAGCTGGGCCTAAGGGCCCGCCGCCTCCGATGCCTGTTAACCTGTCAGGAAGTGGATCTAGCACAGATCGGACACCGGGCCCAGGTAAGGCACCTGGAGTGCCAGTGAAAGGTGGAGTCCCGGGAGGAGTTTCTCCCCTGGGACCACCGCCAAAGGCTGTGACCTCAACGATCTCCCATCCAGGGACAGGAGAGCTTCATGTCACCAGCACAAGTCCGGCAGGAGTTGCTCCGCCATCTACAAATAGCAACAACGGGCTGGAAATGGCGCCTGGCCTGCCTTTACTGAGTGTTTCATTGCCTCACCGCCTCTACTATAACATAGAGCTAGTGGTTCGTACCGAGCCTTCACAGCGAGGCTAGACACTCTCGCGAGACAGCAGTGTGCAAAATGGACGTCGCCAATCAGTCAGCGATACATTGCAAATCAGCCGGTTAACTCCTTCATTAGTGCCAGAGTCTGCAGCTCGAGTCACTGACGACACGTCCGATTCCGACTTCATTGCTTGCAGCCTTGAGGGGCGGAGCGTGTGCGAGTGCTGTGTTAAGGCACGGCTCGTCATGAAGTGACCGCGCAAGTAGCAAGCAGAGCAGCAGGTCGATCCCTCGCAAAGCGTGGACGTTAAGTTTCACCTCAGACAGTATCCTCCCGCTGCGTGTGAATGAAATGCTGTGGCTTCTGTGTTGGCCGTCGTTGTTGTTGGCTGTGTGCCGTTGTTGATGGTGGTGGTGTTGTTGGTCTTGTTGTTGCTGTTGTAGGTGATGTTGCCGTTGATGTTGCTGCTGTTATAATTGTTATCGCCGTTTTCTCACTGGTTCTATTGCTTTGCTGTTGTTCGTGTTCTCGGTGCACTTTGTGTTCTTGGTGTTGTTGGCGGTGGTGAGGTTGTTGGTGTTGGTGGCATTGCCGGCGTTGTTGGCGCTGATGGCGTTCATGGCGCTGTTGTTGGCGTTCTTGTTGGCTGTTGGTTGTTTGTGGTTTGGTGTTGTTTTTTGGTGTTGGTTGCTTGTTGGTGGTCAGTGCTTGTCTGTTGTTGTTTGTTGTCCTTGTTGTCGTGCTCGTGGTCGTGGCTGTTCTTGCTATTGTTGTTGTTGCTGCTGTTGTTGTTCGTTTGGCTGGTTGGTTGCTTGATTGTGTGATGGCTTGCCTGTCGGTTGCTTGATTGTTTTTTTGATGTGTGCTTGTGTGTGTGTGTGTTTATTTGTGTGTTGATTTGTTTGTTTGCTCGGTTGCTTAGTTGAAGTGATTGCTTGCTTGTTTGTTTGTTTGTGGTTTTGTGTGTTTGTGAGTTTGCGGGTGTGCATGTTTGCTTGGCTGTTTGCTTGCTTGCTTGTTTGCTTGTTTGTGTGTGTGTGTGTCTGGGTGGCTGTTTATTGTTGGTTGTTGATGTCCGTTATTGTTTGTTGTCGTTTGATGTCATTTGTTGCGGCTTGTTGTTGTGTTTGTTTGTTGTTGAGCTGACCGACTTGCACAGTTATTGGTGCTTTTGTTGTTGTTTGGTGTTTGTTGCTGATGATATTGTTCTTGTTATTCTTGTTGTTGCTGCTGTTGTTGCTGCTGTTGCTGGTTGCTGTTGCTGGTTGCAGTTGCTGGTTGCTGGTGGCTGGATGCTGGTGCTATTGCTGGTGTTGCTGTTGTTGCTGTTGTTGTTGTTGTTGTTGCTGTTGTTGTTGTTATTGTTGTTGTTGTTGGTGTTGGTGCTGATGTTGTTGTTGTTGTTGTAGATGTTGATGTTGTTGTTGTTGTTGGTGGTGGTGTTAAAGTTTGTTCGTTCGTTTGTTTGGGGTTAGTTGTTTGTTGTTGGTTGCTGGTTGTTTCTTGTTGGTTGCTTCTTGTTTGATGTTGGTTGCTTGTTGTTGGTGCTGCTGCCGCTGTTGCTATTGCTCTTCCTGTTTTGGTGGCAGTTGCTGTTCCTCTTACTACTGTTGCTGTTGTTGTTGTTGTTGTTGGTGGTGGTGGTGGTGCTGGGGGCGGCGCCGGTGGGGGCGGTGGAATCCGGACAAAACTCAATCTACCCGTCCTTCGTGCGCCTCACCCTCACCACTTTGGCCATCATCACGAGGTCCCCGTCCATCAGTGCCAGTCGCCCCAACTGTTCACAATGATGATATGAGTCTAGGACCAGCGGGCGCAGTGGTTGGAACGTCCCTTCAGCGATTTCGTTGGACTTCAATGATTGTGGGTTATTGATGATCTCCTTGCCGAGCTTCATCTTCCACTTCAGGGCGGAAACACGGCAGGCAGCACGCCCGTAGCGCACGAAGCCGATGGGCGAGTAGCCCACCTGGATCTCATTGGGAACGTCAAGCACTTGAACTACGGCATCGAACTCTCGGACTTGTCCGATGCCGATGAGATCGAAACAATGCACAAGGAAATTCGCAAGGAAAGCAAGGAAGGAGGCTCCCTCCTCAAACTGTTTCCGAGGTGGCCTGTGCTCTGTCACTTTGAAGAAAAGTTCGGACCGGTTCGAGATGCGCTTGAACACAATCAGCCCTAAAGCAATGCATCTGAGGCCGTGGTGCGTGTGGTAAGACCCCTGAGATGCACGTGAGACAGCGATCAATGCTTCTGTATCCTACTGGCTTTCAACTTTAATCTGCTTCGTCAAGGACGACATCACACAAATACTGAAATGCCGACATGCATCGACGACGAGGGGACAAGTCAGCATAAACTTGGGAAAAGACCATCAGCAAGGCGTGCCTATGAGTCGAAGAGAAGGGAAGAAAAGGAATGGAAGAGCAGAAAGTCAGCCGCCGAGGCCGGACAGCAGACGAGAATGGCGGACTCATCTTTTCAGAGCACGCAGCCTTAACAGCCTAAGTGACGCGAGTTTCACGCAATCACCTAGCTCTCAGCCCGGTATCGTGACGGAAAAAGCACTTCGAGGTGCTCCTACGATTCTTTGCCTAGTCAGGCTCGCAGGGGCTTGCCCGAAGCACTTGCAGCAAGCAGCCACGAAGCCATCTGAGACTGAACTGTGAATCTGGATCAAAGCACTGGCCGAGGCTTCATGGTAGCCAAGCACCGACAAGATTGGAGGGCATCAAGGCACGCCCTTGTGAATCGAGTCACTGCTTGGCCATCACGTAGCAATTTCAGCAAGATCTTTCCATCCTGTCCTTCTATCCTGATTATGTCAAAAATCCTTCAAAATTGAGGGGATTACCAATACTCTTTGAAAGATCATGCTGGAAGATGCCCGAAGTTGAAGAGAGGCATGGATTATGGCTCGTGCTTTCCTTGTCAGACTCTGACTAAGGCTGATCCTCGGGGATGTACTTTGGACTTGTTGCTTCAGCCTTGGTCATACGTTGCTTCAGCCTTGGTCATACCAAAGACGAAGGATCTGCAGGCAGCTTCGCTGCGCAGAACACGTCGGGGAACTGCAGCCATGTCTGCATCAATCATCCCACCTTGGTGCTGCTCGTCGCTGAGAGCTCCACTGGCACGACGCACTATCATTGCAAACATGCATGCTGAAGTCATACTGAGTTTCGAACTTGAGTGCATTTGCAACATTGACCGAAAGGCCTCTAAACTGTGTGGCCTTGATCTTAGACACCTCAGGAGACGAGCGCGGAAAAGCAGCAAACATCCCGGCATATCCCTGCAACGAGGGCAGAAAAAGCTGGTACGGCCTCTGCCAATCGCTGAGCACCAAGTTCGGCTCCAGCTTTGCAGAGGTTGGCAAATGACGCGTCGGTCTGGCCGCGAGATGCCACCAGCACAAGAAGATCTGCAGGGAGTCTGGGACATCAAAGGCAAAGTACTAGCAAACAAGGCAGGAGACATTCAGGCGGCTTTCACGAGTTTGACGAGCCTGGCATCACCGCAGGCTTGTGAAATTCATCTTTCATGACGCAGACGTCGGTGCTGACAAAGCAGGCAGATATCCAGAGCACGCAACACTTGCCAAACAAATCTAGCAGGGCCTCAGCTTCAAGGTCCTGGTGATTTGTCAAGGTCTTGACGCCTTTGCCCGCTTTCTCCCTGATGGAGCGACACCATCGGCTAGGCGGACACTGACGCAAAGACATCGGCAACCAGGCCTTGCTTTCTGCGTGTGCTCCGTTGGCCGCCTTGGCGTCCGATTCTCATCCTGTAAGAAGCAAGGAATCCCTGCGAGGCACATCCAAGCGAAGCTCTCCTGAATCTGGCCCGTGATCGGATTTCGGCCGGCACCTCACAGCAGCCGCAGCAAAAGCTGCCCCCCGCCGCTTTCTTCCTACGATGCAGCCGAAGCACTGCTTGGCTTATGCGGGCATGACCTGCGCGTGAGCCCATGAGCTCAGATTGTCATGCATCAATCCTACCCCATAGGAAGCCATCGTATTGGAACTCTGGGTACCCAGCGTTGCACGGTACAACGCACGGCAACCTTCACCGCCGTAGGACAGTACTTCGAACCTGTCAGCTGTCGAGACAGTACAAGTATAAGTCCACAGAAGTTTCCGAAGACCCCTGGTACCAGCTGAAGCGTCCGACCTGTAGAGATCTTGATTCCAGTTGATGGCTTGCCGATGGGATTCGGAGGAATAGCCATACCGGAACTCACCTCTTGCCTGCAGGGACAACCAGCATCTCCTGTTAGCAGCGACGTCCATCAGTCCAGCCTTCCTCTCTTTGAATAACCGATCATGTGGATGCGGAGGATCCTCATCCTGAGTCACGCAGACTGCCAATCGGCGCCCACACACATAAAGCAAACAAGCAAACAAAGCTAGAGAGACGGTCGATAAGATGTCTTAAGCTGCTGACTCGGGGATTAAGCACATACGACGCGCCGGAGCGAAGCAGAGTAGGGTTTCCACCCTGCCAGTATCGAGCTCATCCCTCTACCACGTGAAAGAAGCAGAGCGCCTCTGGCGACTTCCTGATACCACCCTAGCAACGCAACATCGCTGTTTTTATCGTGGCGGCAAAGCGAACTTCAGCTCGGGGCCTCGGCTGCTCGTCCGGTCCTCTTCGCAGCTTTCCACTGCTCCAACGTTTCTTTGCTCACCCTGCCCTGCAGCGACGCTTGCGAGAGAGGGATGATGCGGGATGCCGGGATGTGGGATGTCTCCGCACTGCAGACAGATTGCCGCGGCCTTGCGCTTCATACTCTGCTGGAAGAGTATCTCGTGATCATGAGCGCAGCCTGCACCAGGTGTGTATGGCCTTGCCTGCAAAACGTGCCCAAATACACTGGATTCAGTTCAGTTGCACGGGCACCTTGAGCATACTCAAATGCCTGCAACTGCTATGAGCACTGCGTCATGATCGGCTGCTGTTCGGTGCTTCGGACAGCGAGCCTTTCGGACACCAGGGCTATCCGCCTGCCCGTAGAAATGATTACCTCGGAAGTGGAGAACAAGGAGCAAGTATTCGCAACATGTGCGCCGAGCCCGGCACTAGGAGCGAGTGGGTCCTCTTCTGATGCAGGGCATACATTGAAACATGCTCAATGACGCGGCGCTGTTTAGCTTGTCAGACATCACAATGATGCGCTCCGCCACGACGTTGTGAGTGCAGGCGTGTGTCGGCTGACCTTCAGGATATGAGAACATTGCGGCGCCGCAAGACAGTCTGTGACAGGAGAGCCTGCTGGATGCTGCTCCAGAGGCTGGTAGGTTGACACGCCCCACCCGTCCTGGAGAGGAACAGCAGTGCTCTGCATTAGCAGCACCAGCTTTAGCATGGTGTTGCATATGTCCAGTGCTTAGCCCCAAGTCCTCGTAGCTGCGACTCTGGTAGTTAAAGATCGCTTGGGCGGCTTGGCCTGCCAACTTGCCGAAATGCGATAACTCTAGCACGCCTCAAGCAAGAAAATATATTCAGAGTGCCAGCCTTCCCGCAGACGGACCTGTTTTGGGCTTGCAGCAGCTTGCTGGAAGGCTTGCGAGTCAGGCTGTGCATCTGAAGCACACCACGATCGGTGAAAGCGGCTGACATCGCTCTGCGCTGCGTTGGCCTCCCACCAAACTTTGAGCTTCCGCTGTGACTCCTCCGTGACTCCTCCGAAGCTCCGAGCCTCCTTGCATCTCTGATCCTCGCCGTAGAGGGTGTGGTCGGTTGGTCACGAAGCACTGGAGCAGAGCATTCAAGTTCATTGACACTACAAGACGGGACTGGGCTCACCACCCTGCAGAATTCGCGAGTCACTGAGAAAGTGGACGTGCTCGTCGTCGGCAGCCTGGCGCGAAGCTCAAGCTACTGGCAGCGCCATGCAGGACTCAGCTCTGCCCGCCTTCTGCGCCTTCTTTCTTTCATGGTCCTCCGCATCCAAATGGCCGGCCTTACGAAGGCTGCACTGTGGGGATGACAGCCCTGGACATGTTCAGTTTGGTCCCGTGCCATCGGCTGAGATTGCCCAGAATGCCTCTTGGAAGGGAGCATGGGACACTGATCCTGATGGCCTCAGGCACACCTCCCTCTCTGCCCTGCCCACTGGGTATCTGACTGCAGCTTCTCAGCAAAAGCCACCCATGTCTTGGGATCGACCCGCTCACCATTCCTAAAGTCGGCCAGTTGAACAGTGCACCGAGCAGACTGACAGAATTCGGGCTTCCGGCCCGAAGAGGTTGCGGATCTGTGAGTGGACAGAGGGACCTTCTTCCAGGTCCACCGCCATGAGCGCTGTGCGCCTGCACGCTCACTGAGGCAGACTGGCGTCAACAAAATGGGAAGAGAGCACTTGCCACCTGCGTAGTTGCTGGGGGGGCAACCTCGGCTGACAAAGAACCCAAACAGTCTTCCAAGCCGCACTTCGAGCGAAAGTGTAGGTCGCTTGCTTGCTTGACTTTGTGTCAGGCGATGCAGCTGCTGGCCTGTGCTGCAAAGACAGACCGAACCAGGACGATGTGTCCCAATCTTACCTCTTACCGAAGCCCATGCAACGTGCACAGCTCCAAAGCTCTTGGCACCTGCTTCTGGGTCCCTTCTTCCATTGTCGAAATCATTGCTGATGGGCTTTTGTGAAAGTTCGTGTTGTCACTCGCATGCTCAGTCGGGAAGTAAAACGGCGACTCAGCCGATTCCGAACCTCCTCAGACATGCAATGACACCGACAAAGTCTTCACAGCCAAGGCCAAGTTCAGGCTACTACGAGCCCCCCACGTCCCTCTGCCCTTGGGAGATCTCGGAGCTCGGATGAGCTGGGAACTGAGCCTCCGACACATCCGACACCTCCTCGACTTCGGCGACTTCTGTGACGACGGGGGAGCGACGCCTCCAAAACCGTTTGGAAGAACAAGCTCCGCCACGAAACTCAACAGCCTCGGTGCTGCCGGTGGATCGCTTGTCGAATCTGGTGGACCTGGCAAGTGAAGAGTCTTGTAACTTGCGAGTTCGACAAAGGTTGGATGTCGAATCGCACAGTCAGAGGTCGCTGCTTGCAGGAACTTCATCGGAGGAGCTTCTTCCTGGCTGAAGCATTTTTCAGAAGGTTTTTGTAGATACGTCTCGAAGAAATCGCCCCTGCCTTGCTCTTCCGGGGCTGGCATGGAACGAGCCTCAGATATGCCACGCACCGCGCACAGCTGCCTCACCACATCTCCACCACGTCACATCATGCAGAGACACGGAGTACTGGGTCACAAACTCTGCTTAGGGCAGGCTTCACAGCACCAGCAACGGACCTGAGCACGAACGAGCCAAGTAATGCAAAGAGTGACAACTTACGTACGAAGACCGTGTGGGAATCGGTTGGGAATGCTGCAACTGCGTCGAGGATTTCTGACTCTCTCTTTTTGTTGGTTTGATGGTCGGCAGCGGTTTGACAGAGGGTGTAGGTCAGAGTATCAGCTCAAAGTTTTCACCAGTTCGTGACTGGCCTGCAACAAAGCAACGATGCTAGCTCGAGGTGAGCATGCCAGGCTGGCAACACTAGCTGCCATCTTTCCTCTCCCCAGCGCGCCCGGGCTGTGAAGCTGCCATGTAGTTCTACAGTCAAAGCAGGATGACAGGCGTTCAGCGGCCAGAAATCACTAGGCCTGGTCGCCTACGAACAGAGTGAGGGGAGAAGCAGAAGAGGGGGGAAAGGGGGGCACGGAAGCGTGACAGCCGAAGCTGGTGGGCTTGTAGCCCGCAGAATGTGAGAGGCTGCTTGTCCTCCTGTCCTTAGCAAGGAGGCTCCGACTCAGGCACCGGCCTTGCAGGCTCAGAGGGTGTGCCAGACCTTTGTCGTGACACTAGGATGCTAAATGGGTACGGTCAGACACACTCGCAAAATGCTACGACATTCTTGGAGAGGGTCCATTGAATGCTGTAGAATCCACTAAGACTAAACTGAAACTGCGACATGCGGCAAGTTGTCCGTGAGGCGCACGACATGTGAAGGTAGGTTTGTCGCAATATGGCGCAATTCAAGGCTGACTGGCTTGGCTCCTGCACGGAAGACTAGCTGCAACTTCATCATCCACAGGCGACGCCAAGCTCTGAACTCATCTATTGATGTGCTTGTCTTTGACCGCGCAAGCCTCTCCAAGCAGCTCTGCTTCTTTTTGAAGTACGGCCCAAGCATCCTGCAGTGCCAACTTCCTCGTTGCGGAAACTCAGTGCCACACGCTCGTCTTGCAAGTCCCTGCATACCTCATCGACTCAGGGACCGAAGCCCCAACCGCCGACAGAATGGCGCCGAGGCAGGCCTGGCCTGCCGGTTCCTTTGCCGAAACCAGGACAGAGCGCGCCTCGATCAACATGCAGCACCTCACTCTCTCCTGACTCCTGAGCCCTGCAAGATGGTTAAAATGGAAGTGTACTTGTGCCTAGAGCTCTCTCAGCTGGGCTTTCCAGAGGTGGCTTCCAGCATTGTCAAGGGACGTGAAGCCTGACGAGTCTAGTGGGTCAGCTCGCTCCTATCCGAGCCCCAAGACCTAAACCACTCCCTGACTGAAGTCAGACTTGGTCATCTCATACGTCGTTGCCAGCGCTTGCAATTTGACGATCCGCTCATTTTCATATGTTCCTTTCATAGGCTTCCCAGCATTTGGCAACCTGTTCAGGTTGCTTGGCTTCTTAACTTTTCGATGTCTCCCAGCCCTGTAGATCGAAGAGTCAAATCTGGCTAAGGAAGCAAATACCTGCGATGGCAAAGCCACCAGGGGTTTGTCACTCGCTTGCACCAGAGGTACCATCATCCGACAAAATGCGGATCTTGAGTCTTGACACTCATTCACATGACCCTCTTTACACAATCGCAAGAACCCGAGTACCGCTGTTTGGGGCGCGGACTTTCAGCAGTCCCGAACCAGCTCCAGATTCCCTGCTGCAGGCACTCAATCACATGTCCAGCATGTGGGGGGCAGCCCCGCAAGCCCGTTAAACATGTCACTCGCTGTTGTTGGTGATTGGTCTGGTGTTTGGCGTCAAGCATCTCTTTTATTCTCGTGGCTCCACCGAACTTGTTTAGTTGTGGTGCACTAACTTTCTCTCTCTATCTCTCTCTCTCTCTCTCTCTCTTCGGTAAGCTGTGTCTTTCTCTGTTGTCTGAAATTGACTCGACTCTAATCCACAAACCTTCACAACTTCACCCCCAAAACGTTAACCCTAAAGCCCGAATCCCAAACCCTAAAAATCGCAGTCCTTAAACCCCAATCGCAAAGCCGAATCCCAAGGACCCAAACTCTACAGGCTTGCGGCATCTTGCGGCCCTAAACCCCTTAAAGCCCCAGGCCCGAATGCCCACGGCCCTAGTCCCCAAACCCCCGAAAGCAAAAAAAATGCCAACCTGCAGGCCCTCATTTCCTTCAATCGGTAAACCCCAAGCCTAAACCCTGAATTGTGTAGCCCGCACCGCAGACTGTTGTGAGGGCCCAGACAACAATCCCTTCCCAACCCTGAGCTGGAGGCCCAAACTCTAAACCTTCTGGACCCGAAACCAAGCCCCAAACCTTAAACCCTACGCCCTCCGAACAAACCCCACAGCCGGAAACAACCCAAAGAGCAGACCCCAAACCCAAAACTCTGAACATCGACCCTGAAGAAGATCAAGCCCCAAACCCTAAATCCAAGTCCCCAAACCCCAAAAAACCCATATCTTAAACCCGAAAAATCTAACAGACTAAACCCAAAACCCCTGACGCCTGGACCTAGACTAAACCCCAAACCGTCTGTAAACCTAGAATGTAGACACTCCTGAGGGCCTAATCTCCAAGGCCCTCAAAGGTGTAAGTTCAAAACCATAAAGAGCAGATAATCCTCAACCGAAACCCGTCAAGCCTACGCCCTAAACCCCAAACCCTCCTAGCCCACGACATCAATGCGCCCAAGCACAAGCCCGAAACCGTGGGGAAAAGATACGGTCAACAAAAAAGAAAGCGTTGCCTTTCTTCAATTGTGGGAATTCCTGAACACATCCACATTAAAACGATTGGAGCCTTCAAAATGTGTCCAAAAAAACATGTAGGCTGCCCCTCTGCATGCTGGCTACTTGTTCGTGAAGACCGAAAAGCCGGATCCCCTAAGTGCAACGCCTCTGGTTGCCCGAAGGTGCTGCTGCACTCATGGCTGACCTGATCACTCTTTTGTTCTGTGCGGAGACCCATATCCGCCGACCCGTGGTGGCATCAGCATCGATGAATTCTTGCCGTCGGGCTGCCTTATCTGCCCTCCACCACTCCCCCCGCCCGAGCCGCAAAACTGTTTCGAATCAAGTCAGAACCTTCCGAGAGCGGCCTGGACCCCTCGGTCAGGCCGACCCTCACCCTTGCCGCCCTTCCAGATCCTGACTCCCCAGCCTCAACAACCCCCGTTTCTGGACTCACCACCTCCAGCCCGTCAAGCCCGACATCCCACAGATTCCCACAGTATAAACCCACCACACAGCGATACACATTTCGAAAGAAGACAAGGTCGGTGGCAACTGGCAGCCCATCCGACGCCAATCCGACCCACCACCGCGGTGACCAGGGAGCGGATAGAGCGAGGCTCTATGCGGTGTGGGGTCTCCTGCCGCCGACCTTTTTAGGAAGAGGGCCCGCGATGCCAATGGAGGCCCTAAACCCGAAGCCCTCGATCATTCTCGACCGATCGTGACATCGGGAACGACTTGGGATCCAGCTCTGTGGGTGAGGGCCCTGGCGATGCTCCAAGGTCTGCAGTGGGCCTGTGGCAGCAAGCTCTAGCAGTTCAAAGGTGCACTCTTAAGAACATCGCACGGACAAGGCCGCTACGCCCGCTGCAAAGGCGTAGAGCCTCCGGCAAACAAAAACAAACTACCAGGCTTGAAAGAAGACTTGCTGTCCGCTTCCAAGCCTTCGGGCGCTGGGGTGGGAGCGGCCTAAGCTTTGGAAAGTCCAAAGTCCCTCAACTCTCCGGGATGCTATCCAAGCTTAGGAGCGAGCCAATGTAGAATCGGGATCGCTGGCAGGAGACCCCCTGCTGTGCAGAACACCCCCCCTCCCTCGGACGCTCGGAGGTTTCATCCAGTGCAAGCCGCTCTGTCCCCTCACACTGCGTTCCGTGGGCCCATGGGACGGTACCCTAGATAGATGCTCAGGCACGCATGTTGCACGGAAACAGAAACTAGAACGGGTCGGATAATTAGGACGGAATGCCATCGTTTCTCTCGACACTGCATGCTGCGGTGTGCACCACCTGGATGCCCGCCAGACTGCGGCTCAGTCGCGCCACGCGCAACGCGCTTGTGACATGCTTTTGACTGGCGCATTGCTTGATCAAGTAGCTGCGTTTCAATCAGGTACAATCAGGTAAATGCACGCTCCAACCCTCAATTCCATGCAAACAGGTGCACGTAGTCTCCAGAGTTTGTCCTGCTGCCAGGTTTCAAGGCCCCTCGCCCTCCAGTTGCTCTCAAGATCTGTTGCATCCCGGCATGTCTCGGCCAAATCTCGAAACCCAAGTTGTGCCCAGGCTGTCCGCATGCTGCCTCTGCCGCGGTGCCGTCTGAGGCCTGGCAGCGATAGTGTTCTAGCTGTTCTATCTCTCCAAAGCAGCCAAACCAAGTCAAAAGCAAATACAAACAAAGTATCACATTTTGTCGGACGGAAAGACCAGGCGACCTGCTCTTCTGTCGTTGAATGGCCTTAGGCAGTTGTGCACTGGCTAAGAACTGAGCCCAGGTGGTAAACGCAAAAGCTGACTTGGATACGAGGATCCGGCATTCATCAAGCCTACGCCATTCTTTCGAGACTGTTGGGGCGCCCTGGGCGGTGGCAATTTTTTGACGCTTTGCAACGCGTTATGGGAACACAACAACACAGCCTACCAAGCCTGTACCATCTGGCGTCAGCGTGAAACGAAGAATTGATGCTAACAGCTAACACTCCCTGCACGCCAGCTGGTGCTTGCTGCCGGGACCGACTGGGATCTCGACCCAGAGCGGTTCGCTCTCATGCTTTCCCTGGCCTCCAGCACAGTCAAGCAGAGCAGAGGCCTATCTGCATGCTGGCCGTTGAAACGACCAGAGCTAGAACTCGCGACACAATGGACAAACACCAGTTAACTGCAGTCGAAGTGGCACGTGGTCACGTGGTACTCGGACACGTGACGGTTGGAGAGGCTGTCTTGAGCTAGAAACAGCAGCAACGGAAGAATGTGCACCCATTAGCGGAAATATGTTTCCTCACTGCAACTCTGCTTATCGTTGTGTGTTGTTTTGACCGCTTCTGCAAACTTGCAGGACGTTCGTCAGTGCAGAAACTTCGCTCAGCGAAGTCTGCTGAGAGCTCTGAGCAATTGCCACAGTGACACTTTGATCGGCTGCCCAGGTCCGGAGGCCTCGCGCGCGCAGTCGGCTTCCACTCTCCGCTGCGGGCAGGCGCCGAGGCTCTCTGAGGCCCTGACACGTCTGACAGCCGGGTTCACCGGACCTGCCTCAAGGCTTCGACTGGAGAGGCAAGTCCTTGTACCTGGGATTTCAAGACTACAACGGGGCATGGGGTATGGGTTATGCGCCGTGCCAGACACGCATCCGAGCGTTTGCACGTGATCGCCCCGCACGGCCGATTGAAGGCCTCCGCCACACCGGGCTTGTGACAATACCTTCATGTCATTTGTGGCAGACGCATGGCTTGCGGCAACCTCATTCCCTGTGTAGCAATGCTGCTACACACCCTCCCGAGATGCATCTTGGCTTCCAGCGGCGACGCTCGGTATTCACCTGTTTCATTGAGGGGGCCACAAATTGAAGTTGACGGTTGACGCCCCATGCGGACCTGTCGGGCGACTCCACCCGTACTCCTGCGACGTTGTTGCAGGCTCATCCCCATACCTGACGGCGAAAGCAGCCATTCAAAATGCAGTATATTTGCAGCCTTGCAAATCTGGGAGCACCGTGACTGAATGCTCGTCTTAGCCCTCAATTTCAGGTACTTGTAACGGCCATCGCCCTGAGGTCAAGCGCACTTCTGAAGGGACCTCTTCTGTACTGACACTGAGATGCTGGCCGTGCCGCTGACACCGTCATAAAGACTGTCGCGCATGGTCAGGAGTTTGCTGTCACTGTCTGCCCTGTGAGGGCACAGATTCGGGTCTGCTACTGGTGCTGAGTCAGGTCTGACACCCGTAGCCGGGCCTTAATAACCGCTGCTCCAAGAAGCACACGGCGGCGCTCTGAATGGGACGGAACAAGTGCATACCGCTTGCAAAGACTTGTGCTCAGCCACAGCAGCGCACCTTTCGAGGTGACAACTGGGCATTCCTGTTCCGACAACAGCAGCTGCAAAGGAAGCATGCCCGTATACAATCACAAGCACTTGCAACAGTTGCACCTCGTGCAGCCAGGAAAAGGCCCGATGTTTGTGTGGGCCTGGTTCGCAACTCGTACCGCCCGAACAAATGTTCTGCATTCTGGGGCACGTGCTCTGGGAAGTTTCACTGTCCTCTACACGGCACAATCTGCATTCCACCTGGATGTGCCATGTCTCCAGATCCCGTCTGCACTCGGACACGTCCTGATTTCTCCTTGGGACCGCCGAAACTCCATCTGCTTGTCCAGCATGGCCCATCTCAGCTTGTCCTGCAGCACAGGGCGAAATGTCGTTCGCTCAGTTTTGAATCATATGGCTGCAGGCACACCTGCACTGTATAGATCCCGTACGACTCTGCCCCATGAAGCACAAAGTACTTCCAGGTGACACGTCCCCTGTGAGATTCGTCCTCAGTTCCGATGACCTCATTCTGCCGGGCGTTCCACAAGATGTTAAAGTTCTTGATGCGGCCCTGATCCGAGGATCTGCAAGCCGAGGAGGCACGTCCTTCTCACAACGAGCCTGGACCGGCTCATTCTTGGCCTTGGCAGGTCGGCAGTCGCAGCTCCGTAGCAGCCGTAGCTTCACACAGCGGCAACGCGGCAAAGTCGAGGCGAGGGCCATCTTGGCGCGGACTGCCAACGGACGCTTGAGCCACAGCTGCTGTACTCTACACATGCGAGACGCGCTGGATTCATGAACACCCTACCACAGAGCTTCGCGTACGACCCAAGAGACACAGGGAAGTTTTGAGCGAGCCGAGGACACCGCGAGGACACCGGCAGCGAGCCGTCATAAACTACTAAGGAAGCGTTGGCCACAAGCAAGCACTGACTCCGGTGGTCTTTGCCACATGCATTTGAGCAAATATCCAGCCGCAAATTTCTGCAGCAAGATCTGCCTAATTGCCTCTTCCGCACCAGTAAGCATGCAAGTCAAGCCGATGTGCTTCAGGCACTGCTCCCACATTGTACTGCACAATTGATGCCGCGGGAATGAGCCCTCTGCAGAACAGTGCCGACATGTCTCATGGAGCACCGCTGCTTGGGCGGAACATCCCGCCGGTGAGGTTAGCAAGAATTATCACAACCTTAGCAATCACGATCTCAAGATGGATGGGTTTTCCTTCATGCTTCGCCAGCTGGAGCTCTGATCGAGTCGCGTGCTGTCGGTCTTTGGCCCGATGGCAGCAACCTGGCACAAGGGAAGCAACAGGCTTGACTGAGAGAACTTGCGCAGGCGATAAACAAAGAGGCCGAGGCCTGTATGCCGCCTCCGACTCCAACCATATTCTGGTTCATGTTTTGATGCTCTCTTCTCTTGGAGGTCTGTTCATAGATCTCCTGTGCTCAAGGAACAGTCAGGCAACAGTATCGGCCCTTTGCTACGCTAGGAGGAAGCCTGCAAGAGATGCTCGAACACATACTTTACGTTGTGGGCGGTCACGGCGCTGGCCTCATGTCAGGCCGCCAAGGAACTTGCAGCAGAATTCGAACCCAATTGGAAACATTGACTGCAGTCTGTCACCTCTGCAAAGATCAGACCGTGAAGTTTCGCAAACTCTTGTGCCGCATCATAATAGACCTGTCGTGTACAACGGCTCGAGAAAACTCGCAGATCGACATGCAGATGCCGTGACACAGACTGCATTTGTGCATGTCAACACGATGGCAACAGCGCATGGCCTGCCGAAGCGAAGGGTCCTTTTCTACCAGGTCAACCTGGGATGCGAAGTGGAACTCACTGGCGATAACATTCACAACGATCTGTTGCAGGCCTTGTTGCCCACAAGCATAATGACGATGTCGGGTTCTGCGCTTTGTCGCAGCTCCTTCAGGCACTCGCGTGTCTCGACTGGAATTGCATCGCACTTGCAAGACAAATCTCGCCTCCATCCATTTTGTGCAGCTTTTGAACGTCCCTTCTCTGGTTATATCGTACACCAGCAAAGCGCCAACCTTGCAGGACCCAGCAGGCTTCAACGCTCACGTGAATCCCCTACCCGCTATGAAACAGCAGCAGGCGCACAGCTCGCCGGTAGTGAGCGCTAGTAATTGCGCGGTACCTGAGATGTCACGTGCAAGGATGTATTGTTCCGTGAGTTATCTGGAAAACTGCAATCAATCCAGTGAGAAAATGCCCGCCTTTCTTGCCCAGCGGTGTCCCAGATCTGTGCTTTGACAGTACCGCCCACCTGTTGATGCGCAACAGCCCCGCACAGATCGGTCCCCACACCAGCAAACTAAGCCATCGGCAGCAAGTGGCACCGTTCGAGTTGCAAATTCAACACCGATCCTGACGACCAGGGCTGCGTGCATGTCGCACAAGGCTCCCTCATGTCTATTGCACACTCAGCATCGTACGTTGCCGTCGGGTTCTTGGGCAAAGATCCCTTGATGTATCGCGACCTATGCATTCCAACAAGCTTCGCGCGAAATGGCTACATCGCTGGCACCTGAGGACCTGGCAACAAATGCGTTTTTCCGACGGTTGCATCACCAACCTGAGCACGATGTCATTGTAATCAAAGGCATGAACAAACGCCCGGCGAACTTGGACAGTGACCAACACGACCTTGTACAAATAGTCGTAATCATCCTGCGGATCAGGCTGGTTTGCTGATGTCAGGGCAGCCGAAAACCACAACACCAGCCGCTGCATTGGTGTCCTCATGAGTGGTTACCATGACTGCAGATGTTTACTGCAACTATCATCTCCCCGTCCAAAAGGCTGCAAAAACATAAAAACATGAACTCATCAACGAAGTGCTTTCATGCATTGCGCAGCAAAAAGATTTGGAAAACCGCGTTGCGTGCCTCACGCGAAAGCTTTCAGAAATGCAGGGGATGGGACGGGGCGAAAGGTGCATCATTGACGTTTTGTAAGGGAACGTTGGCAAGGACGGATGGAGGGCTACGGTTTTTTTTACCTTGCGCTCAGCACTCGGAGGTTTGGTTGTCCTTTCTCGCAATACAACTTCTTGACAATTTTTTGCGGAAACTATGCATCCTCTCACGACCTGACACTTGCTGGACAATCAACGACAAAGTTCATGCTGCGGCAGGACGAAAGTTCGTCGCACTCTCACATGGAAACCATAGACAGGGCAAAGGATGCAACTCAAGAATATCAAAAGGAAATCATGTGATCCCGCCTGGGCTAATCATGAAACCGAGCTGCACGAGCTGTCGGGCCCTTCATCCATGCGGAGGAGCGGGATCTCCTTCCTTCGGAGTATTCCCCTCCCGAAGGTCTCGGCATTCCCGAGAAGCAGTTCCTTTTTCCAGGGCTGTCTGCTTTTGCTACAAGACACTGGGTTGTACGGCTTTCGGTTCAAACAGAAGTACGAGTGGAGAAGTAGCACTACAGTCTAGTTATGCTGGTATTAGTGGTCGTGGTTGCCACAACTGCTACGATCGGCGACGCGCAAAACAGCACGAGACAATGCCGCCGACCTTTTAGCTGGACGTGAATCAAATCCAATGCCCACGTGAAAGGAGCATACTAATTTTCACCGGATAACTTTAAATGTTTGTAGACGTCTCTTGCCAAATATGAGCCAGCCGTAGCTAGCCCGGATCAACAGTGACCAACACAACAGCCGTTTTACTCAGCGTCCGGACGGGAAGTGTTGTGATTTCATGCCCACAGCTCACAAAACCTGACGGATAGTGGAGCAGGATTTGCTTTCATGTTTCGTTGTTGGCGCCAAAAGCGTCACTATCACATCAGGTTGAAGCCAGTCGCGCCCCAATCAGCAAAACCTGGCCTACAACCACATCATTTCTTCTGCACGTTGGGCGATTAGGTTTTGAAGCCCATAAGCAAATCTGGCATGGAAACTTAACTTTAAACCCCCAAACCCAATCTAAACCTAAAACCCTAAACCTCAAATTCAAGGCTGGAAATGTCATTCAAGGAAGTATCAAAACATAAAAGTGAATGGATCGTGTTTCCAAAGCAAAACCTTAAGAACAGCACTCAAAAGTGGCGGTGATTGGAAGGAGAATTTATTTTTTTTTGGCGTCGGCGGGCCTCGTCGGCTGCGACTGCAGTACTCGGTCCTAAGAAACTGCGAACAAACGAATAAAACACGAGAAAACAGCGGTGAAACAAGGTAATTAAGGCTTCAGTCACTAATTAAGGCTTCAGTCACTGTACTCTTTAGGTCGTCGCACCTTTCAACCTGCTCCTCCCAGATTGTCACAGTGCGCTGTGCGCATGCCTTTGCCGTTGGACGGCGGGTGGGTGCGGCGGGATGCTTTGAGCCCACATGATACATAAAACTGCCTTAATCGCTCAAGGCTTCAGTCACTGTACTTTTTAGGTCGTCGCACTTTTCAACCTGCTCCTCCAGATATCTCCAGATTGTCACAGTGCGCTGTGCGCATGCCTTTGCCTCCACCCATCTTACCCATCTATCCCGGGCTCGAAGCCGCTCCAACGGTAAGCAAAAGAGAACCACGTAGTGGGAGGGAAACCATATTGCATTAACTCTCTGCCTACTCCAGCATGAGAGGGAAAAGGCGAATGACCGCCAGCACCTTGCCGACACATGGTCCCGAAGCTTTGACAGAAAAAGGGCTGACGAAACCTTCTGAATGTGGCATTTGGCTACCTTCCTCTTCTTCTGACAAATCCCCATTCTCAGCTCCGGGATACAGCCAAAGCTTTTGATGCCGATGACGCTTCATGAAAGCAATTCGACCACTCTCATAAGCTGAGGCCAGTCAACTCGAAGAGCTGGTGCCTAGCAGCAGTGTACCGAGTCTTCGGTTCACGAACAGCCAGGAGGATGTAGTCGATGGTGCCTTGAACGTCCCTGGTAGCACAAGGTCCCGCCTGTACGCCGCAGAAATCTCCAATTCTAGCCAGGCCCCCAAGCCAAGACCAGCAAGCTTGCTACATCAAGCCAACTCCAGGCCAAAACCACAGGTTGCAGCAACCGCCGTATCTTTGGATGCTTTCCCGACAAAGTGTTCACAGTCTCAGAATGGTTGTAAGGCCGGCTCCCTCATATAGGGCCCTTCCATAATCCATAACGAGCCATCAGGGCATTCACTGCATCGATGTCGTTCTTACAGCAGCTCAGCAGCTTTCAAAGTGGTTCTCGGGGATGGCCTGGTCACGCATCCTAAAAAACCATTCCAAAGGTGTCCGCAGGCTTGAGTCGACCTCTTAACGGGCCTGCCCTCAGGAAGAGGTCGAGCAGACCTGAACTCGCGTCTTGCGAGGTCTCCAGAGTTTCTAGGCTCCAGTTCTCCATGGTGGCAAGGAGACCCCAAACGCGAACTAAAGACAACAAGCAACCCCAGAACAACCCTGAAGGACAAAGGAAGAGCGCGTCTTCACCGGAAAATCCAGAGATGCGTCAAAGGAGGGCGCTAAAGCAAGGCTGAGACGCTGATTACAAGCTTTCTTCAAAGTCTACTGGCAAAGACGAAGAACAAGCCGCAGCCAATTCGAAGCCCATCGTCGGCACCTCGGCAGAGGCTAAGTCCATGCTACACAGAGACTCGTGAAGAGCGAGAGGACCCATCTGCAGGCATCCAGCAAGTAAGACAGAACGGCAATAACCATCCTGAAGGTATTTGGAAAAGACCGTCTGCATCCAGTGCCGCTTC